ATAAATAAATGAAAAAGTTAAGATTAGTGATCCCAGTAAGCTTGAATAAAGCTTATTGAAAGAGGGGGCAAAAGTAGGTCTTAAAAAAATAATGTTAAAGTATTAAAATCTAAGGTTAGTGATCCCAATAATCTTGGATAAAGCTTATAGAAAGAGGGGGCAAAAGCTGGTCATAAATAAATGAAGATAAAATCTTAATATCAGTGATCCCAGTAAGCTTGAATAAAGCTTATAGAAAAGAGGGGATAAAAGTTGGTCATAAATAAATAATAATAAAAATTTAAAATCTGAGGTTAGTGATTCCAATAGTCTTGGATAAAGCTTATTGAAAGAGGGGGCGAAAGTTGGTCATAAATAAATGAAGATGAAGTCCAAGGAAATTGATCCCAGTAAGTTGTGTGAAAGCTTGATGTAATACTTTGATCATAGATATCAATGATAGAGATTAATTACATTACATGTTAGTGAAAAGATGAAATGCATGTTATGCTTGTCACATTTGGTGAGTTGGATATAATCTCTTTCCTAAAATGTGTGTATATGTGAACACTTGCTAGTTTGGGGTTTGACCACTGGAGAATGTTGTTTGAAATTCTTTAAACGTTATTCTCCTCATTTGGATTTATTATATTTGATTAGATTCAAGTTGTTCCCTTGCAATTGAATGATATGGGTTCTTTCTCATTTTAATTCCAATTTTATGTTCTTCATTGATGTTGTTTTCTTTTGGTCGATGATATAGTTAGGTGAAAATGGCACAATGTTTGGCTCCTTCAGTGCAATGGCAGATGAGGTTAACAAAGAATGCCATGGAAACGAGCTCTATGACATCCAAAATGTGGAACTCTTTGTCCTTGAAACAAAGCAAGAAAGGAGCACTCAAGACCTCTACGAAATTTAGAATATGTGCTTCATCAAATGGAACCATTAACAGGATGGAGGACCTACTAAACTTGGATGTAACTCCTTTCACTGATAAGATTATTGCTGAATACATTTGGTATCTTCTCTTTCCTTCCAAACCCAATAGATATTTATGTATTCAGATGGCTTCTTAAGAACAACTCTATAAAGCCAAAATGACTACAAAAGTTTGTTATGATACTCTTTGGCTTATTTAGTTCCATGGTTTCTACTTTCTGAAACAGGATTGGAGGTTCTGGGACAGATGTGCGCAGCAAATCAAGGGTCTGTTGGCTTCGGATGCTTTGTTTATTTTTTATATCATCTTTAATTTTGTTAAAATAGAAAAGGGTCATATTTTTTTAATCAATTTTTTAGACACTCCCAAAACCAGTAGAGCATCCTTCTGAGCTTCCAAAGTGGAACTATGATGGATCAAGCACCGGGCAAGCACCGGGAGAAGATAGTGAAGTTATCTTATAGTAAGTCTTTTATCTATGCAAAAAGACTCGTATGTCTCATTTTACATGGTGAAACTAACCATAGTTGAAATTTCTAATTCCAGCCCCCAGGCGATTTTTAAGGATCCTTTCCGTGGTGGCAACAACATCTTGGTGAGTGTAAACCTTGGTGAATTTTAGTAAAATCTCATATAAATATGTATAATCTGAAGAGTAAAATGGCATTACTGATTAACTTAACTCTGTTCTGTTTCTCTTTGGAAGGTAATCTGTGATGCATACACCCCCCAAGGCGAGCCTATCCCTACAAACAAACGTGCTAAGGCTGCTGAGATCTTCAGTGATCCTAAAGTTGTATCGGAAGTCCCCTGGTAATTTTTTGGCTGAAAACATTTTCATCTTTTTTCATGCAACTAAACTTTTAACATTGGTTTCATGAAAAGATTGAAAGTTTTTTCAAGTGATCAAGCATACTAGTTTCCATTTTTATAATTGATATTGATTCTAGAACTGCATCTAAAATTTTGTGACACAAACTAGGAATTGGGAATTGTTGCTGGTTAATTATTAATAAAAATCTAGATCCTATTTGAATTTGTGAGTAATTGTTTGGCCTTAGAAGTCAACTTTTTCTTGTGGAGGGAAACAATTCATTTGAAAAAGAAAAATGAAACAGAAGAGATGGTCCCTCTTTGTTTTTTGATCTTCAGATAAACCGATAAATTTGCTCAATCAAATCTGATTTTAGGTTTGGAATTGAGCAAGAGTACACTTTGCTTCAACCAGATGTGAAGTGGCCTTTGGGTTGGCCTGTTGGAGGCTACCCTGGTCCTCAGGTACTACTCATTATCTCTTTCATTATTTATTTACATGACCACCTACGGGAGGGATATACTGGGTTCGTTTATCATTTTATTTCGTCTCTGAAACTACAGGGCCCATACTACTGTGGTGCTGGTGCAGATAAGTCGTTCGGAAGAGATATATCTGATGCACATTACAAGGCTTGCTTATATGCTGGAATTAACATCAGTGGAACCAACGGTGAAGTCATGCCTGGACAGGTTTTCTTCTACTCATTCTCCTTGTTATCCATTCGATTATGAGCACAAGTATTATGACAACAATTGTGATATCGCAGTGGGAATTCCAAGTGGGTCCTAGCGTGGGAATTGAAGCTGGAGACCATATCTGGTGTGCCAGATACCTTCTTGAGGTGAACCACTTTTACACAGTAAAGATGTAATATTTTCTATCTCCATCAGAATTTAAGGAAAGCTTGTTTCAACAGAGAATTACTGAGCAAGCTGGTGTTGTCCTCACACTTGATCCTAAGCCCATCGAGGTATACAAATCTTGCTTGATGAACTAATTTTCTTTTCAGTTTTCTACAATTGATTCTTAAAAATAGAGAACATGGGGCTTTTGTTCTCTAGTTTGCTCCAATAGATTCTCTATATTGTTCTTTAAAATAGAGAAATATCTAAAACTTGATGCTTGGAGAGGGAAATTAATTTTATATTCATAACCACCAATGAGATTTAATTATTGTTGTCTTAAATAAATTTCTTTTTAAAAAGTGTATTGGGATGATAAATTTATAGAATATAATGGATATTGAAATCTCTATTGACTTTTGGTTCTCTACTTTAGAGAAATTATAGAGAATGTGACGGAGATGCTCTAAACAACCTCCTTGTGAAAAGCAAGGGGAAGGATGCATGCATACATGGACTTCCCACTTTATTTTTTTGGTAACATTAGCCGGCTTGCGTGCACCTTGACTAATTCCCTTGGCCCTGAAAATAATGGCCCGGATAATCTCCAGTGGCCCTAATACAAGGCTCGAACTGGCGACCTATGGGGATGAGCTCCAAGGTGTAATATTTATTTGCCGGTTTCTTGTTGATTTTATAATGAAGTGGAAATGCTCTTGTGGTTTGCATTGACAGGGAGACTGGAACGGAGCAGGGTGTCACACGAACTACAGGTACTTGATTTTTTTTGTACTAATTAATTACCGTTTAAGATGTTCTTGAAGACGTGCAAGAGTTACCGGCATTTGTTGCATTAGCATTTATTAACTTACTTTTGTCCTTTTAATTTGCAGTACACTAAGCATGAGAGAAGAAGGTGGATTTGAAGTAATCAAGAAGGCGATTCTGAACCTTTCCCTTCGTCACACAGAGCACATCAGTGCTTATGGAGAAGGAAATGAGAGAAGATTGACGGGAAAACACGAAACTGCCAGCATCACCACATTTTCATGGGTATCTAAAAATATATAAATTGAAATAGATAATAAACCAAGAAAACAGTTATGGTTTCAAAAGTTTTCTCAACTGTTCTTTGCTTTTTGTGTCAACTTGTAGGGAGTAGCTAATCGTGGTTGCTCCATCCGTGTGGGGCGTGACACCGAGAAGGCGGGCAAAGGTATTGATGTCTTCAACACTTTGACTATTGAAAACCTATATAAACCTGCCATGAACCCCAATATGGCAAATTGGTTGTAAAATATATTTCTTTTGGCCTATTATATTGTCATCTATCTTATCAGCTAGTTTTTACCAAACATGACTGGTTTTATATTAAACTTATAAATTAACAAACAGCTTACTAACCAGTAGCATCAAACCGCTATCATCAGCCAACAACATCTAACCTATAACCAGGGCTGTTTGGTTGGTTTCCATCTAGTCTTGTATGGATAAAGCTGGCTGTTTTTATGGAATAATATCTGTATAGATTGGGAAGGTTTTTTCATAGATGGAAGGAGCATGTTTTTTTTTAATTGGGAGGGTAGGTTCAGAAAAAAAACTTGATTTTCTGCATAAAGCTCTCCCCTGGAAACTTAATGCAGAAGCCACTTCCTACATGATTAAGCCACTACCAATAAGTCATAAACTTGGAGATGGAAGTCTTCTTTTGTTTCTCGACAGTGAAGTAAGACCAAGCTCATGAGTTTATTATCTCAGGCCGGAACAAGTTGATAGGATCCCCTTGTTACGTCCCCATGCCCTCTGTGTGGCGACATGGGGGCGAAAAAAGGAAAAAAATGGATGGAGTTTCTCTCGCTTTTGGCATAGCGCCCCCAGTGGGGGACTCGCATGACGGGCTATTAGCTTAGTGGGTAGAGAGTACCCCTGATAATTGCGTCATTGTGCGTGGGTTGTGAGAGACCGAATAAACAGCGAGTCCCATTAAACTGCTAACATGACCTGAGATTGTGGATGAGTGCATAACCCACACGATATCCTCGCTTAAATTTTGTTCTCTCTTTGATGGTTTATTTTTCTTTGTGTAGGTTACTTGGAAGATAGGCGTCCGGCATCAAACATGGACCCATATACAGTGACTGGATTACTTGCAGAAACTACACTCCTGTGGGCGCCTACTCTTGAGGCTGAAGCTCTTGCTGCTCAGAAGTTGGCATTGAATGTGTAGAAACTTCATCATATAAATCGAAGAAAACATCATCATCGTTCTTCGAAAGCTCGGTTTTCTGTTTTTAGTTGATTTCTTGTAGATAAAGCTCCCATCCCAAAAGCAAACCGTTGGCTTCATATGTCAATTTATTTTCAGAAATTGGGTGTTGTTTTAAGACTATGTTTGATCAGTTTATGCATATTTTGATCTCTTTTTCAATTAAAGAAAAGACCCTTGTGGTTTTGGGGGGGTATTTTCTAAATCATAAATAATGAAGATGATTCTCTTTGTTAAATTGTTTTTCTCTGGTTCTTGGTCGTAAATTAACCATTTATGTTTGATTAATTTGATGAAAATGATGTATTTGTGTGTGATTGGGATGCACTCTGCGGTTACCAAAACAAATGTTGATTCAACGAATACTCGGAAACCATCGCCTTCAAAGTTCGTTGGTTCAATGAATACGAATTTTAGGCTCGAATCAAATTAACAATGAACTTAGTCTTGGAATGAAAAATGGAAGTGTCGTTGTCTATATTACACCAAAATAATCGTATAAATAAGAGCCCCAAACATAAATAGCACGATTTTGTTGAATATGATATCTACAAATCTTACCTCCATCCTTAAAAGATGAAGATATTGTTTCCCTCAATACCATCGACCAGACCAAAAAGCCCTCCCCCCTACCCATCTACAATAAATAGCAGACCTTATGCATGGTTTGCGACCATTTGTAGCATTTCTATCGGATATCATCAGTTATTGAAAAGGTCTAAGGCTGACCACGCCTAACCCTCCACGTCCTCCTTTGCCCGTCTACCTTTTCGATCGATCAATACGCTCTCCACCCTACTCACAAGTCACAATTGCGAGTTACAAATAATTAATCATTACAAAAAACTTGTTAATCTAACACATTTTTTGAGTAAATTTACACTTTTATAATTATGAAGTGCACGTCTCTTACACACTTAAATAAGTGTGTCCACAATAATTTTTCAACACATTTGTATGAATCGTGAGGGAAAAAGTGCCCATTTGCTTACTGAGTTCCATTTGAAACACAATTGATCGATGTTGTTTTATGAGAAAAAAAGTTGTACGAAATGTAGTCGTTTGATGTATACCAAAAAAACTCCCATGATCCTCTATAATTTACAAAGAAGTTGTTTGATTGGTTTTCCATTAAATTCTGTATGGATGTATGGATTAATTTATCTATATAGATTGTGAGAGTTCTTATTTGCGAGTGTTTTATCTTCGAAAGAAGAGGCATATTTTTTAATAGGAAGTGGCAAGTTTGGAAAAAGCTTGTCTTTCTGCATAAATCTTCCCCCTAGAAGCTTACTGAATAATCCATTTTTTATAGTATTAAAACACTACCAAATAGTAATTATAATTAATCAAATAAGTTATGAGTCTCATTAAGCTGCTGCTGACAAACATACCCTAACTTGGATATTCATAGTTCCCCTTCCCTAGAAAGCATTCTTTCCCCGCTCTTTTGTAAATTGCAGTAGATTTGAGAATGAGTGATTCAACGGTAATCTATTGTTTGGAATGCAGAATAACAGAAGAATCATAACAAAAAATCGATACAATAATTATTGGTACATGTTGTATATGTGTTGTTATGTTCTAAAAAAATATAAAATGTTTATTCTAAATCTAATTATTCATTTATTATAGTGTTGAGTACTGATTTAATTATCCTAAATCTTCCACTTAGGTGATTTTTTATTTTCAATTTTATGCTATTTTTGGTATTAATTTGTTTTAAACAAGTCATTGATGTTGTCTATAAATAATTTTTGGTGTTGTTCTTTTTTTGTCTTTGATTGTTGTATTTCTAAAGTTCTTTGAGGTTTGTTTTAATGATATGTGTGTGCGCGCAATATGAAAGGAAGTCATTGATTCATTTCGGTTTTAATTTGATGACAGATTCAAAAACACCTAGATTTGTTTGTATATGTGTGTGAAAAGGAAAGAGGGGCTCAGAAAGAGTATGTGTGCAAGGATAAAGGGGAGTCGAAAATGCTATTTAGACTTACGGAGGAAACTAGAGTTGTAGAAGGGCCAGAGAATGAGATAAACAAGTGATGGAACCGATGAACCCATAGTGACCGACAAGGTTTACGCTTGGAGAAGAAAAAGAGTGGGATGGCTATGCACAATATAATATATTTTTGTTTATTTTTCAAATATAAACTTAAATAAACGAATAAATAGCAAAATGCTATAGAATTAACAAACCCTGTTAACATTGTTAGACACATGGACCAAAAGTGAAACAAAGTGGCAACTAGAGTGCTCAAAAGTGTAATTAACTTAAAGTAAAGACTAAACTTGATAGTAAGTGATAATCAAAAGAATCTAAAGTGTAATTACTCTAAGGTGACGTTTGTATTTTAAGAGGTAATTAAGTCTGAAGTCTTATTTCGCTTATGACTGATAAGAGGTGGTGCTGAAGTCTGAATCTAAATCAATAACATTGTTTGTTTTTATGACTAGACAAACGTCTGAAGTTTGAAACATGAACCAATATGACGATTTGTTTTTATCTTAGGATCAAAACCGTCTTCTTAATATCATTGGCTACGGAAAAGTCTAAAAAGTGAATGATGTTTTTTTTTTTTTTTGTTGCTATTTTGAACAATATTTCTAAATTTTAATCAATTTATATCAAATAAGCTACTTTTGGATTATATTTTATTATTACCGAGATAAACAAATATTAAAAAAAATAGATATAAGATTAACTAAATTACACAGATAAAAAATGATCATACCATAATTATTTGTTTTAACAAGTTGCTTCATCGAAAAATTGAATCATAATTCTAAGAAATAAGTTTACATCATAATTAATATATTATTTATATATTTAACTCAAAAACAAATAAATAGATAAAAATGGCATCTAGTCAACAGCATCCATCTATTTTACATATGTAATATATAACATGAATTAGGGGTATTTTTGTAATTTGTATAAAAGTACAATGGCTAGATGTATAGAAAGGTGATTTCCAGTAGGAGTCTAATAGCTATTGGCATTTATCCTGCTCTGGTTCTTGAGCAGATGGTTTGAAAAGTCAAAAGACGTAGAAAATATAAGCAAAGTCAAAGAACGGGAGCGTGGCAAGAGAAAAGAGGGATTTAACTTAACGTTTGTTTTTTAAGAGGTGTTAAACTGATTTGACTTATGATTTATAAGATGTGATAATGAAGTTTAAAATCTGAATCAGTCAGTTTATTGTTTTTACGTCTAAAGTCTGAAATTTAAATCAATTCATTTTAATTAAATTCAACTAAATTAAAATATCCAATTCATTTAACACATTCAAAACTTCAACTAAAATACGTCAATTGATTCCACACACAATATTAAACATGAACAAAGTCTCATCACAACTAGAATCAACATTCATTTTGCATTAATTATATCGCAATTTCTTCTCTTAAATATCAATATATGTTTGGTTAGCGACACTCTCATGCGATTGAAGCTCTTCAGCCTCATCCTCGCCATCGTCCCCTTTCTCGTTGGTGTGATCATACTCAGAAAGTAACTCATCACATAGACCTTCCTTTCGTGTGAAGTTGTGAACCATAAAGCATGCAATAACGTCTCTTTGAACCTCAAGCATAAATTGTTCGATTCTTTTCAATATCGAAAAACGTGCTTTCAGAACACCATAAGAACGCTCAATTACATTTTTAAGTTTTGCATGAGAATGATTAAACTTTTCATACTTGTTCATTGCTCGTCGACAACGAAAATCTCCGAGCCAATATCTAACATTACGATACGATACCATAAATCCTTGTATACACAACATCACATAGATAATATTTATCTAAAATAAATAAACAAAATAGCTATTAATATGAATATAGTAAATATATTACCTCTAAAATCATTAATATACCTGAAGGAGGAAATGAAAATCTAATAGCACCATCTGTTAAAGCTTTGGAGAACTTTAGAATCATGTGCAATTCTTTCCCATCCGGCAACAACAAATACAAAAATCATTTTGAAGACTCAAATTACCAAAATATTTTTATAACATTCACCTTTTCCTTGTACTCTATATAAATGTTGTTCTTACATAGGGACAATAACATGTATTAAAGTTCCATGAAGGGCACCAATTGCTCCCTACATTAAAGCTAGCAGTCAAAATAAATTTAATAAGGAAGGTTATACAACTATTATTATTTACCTTAAATATTTGTCTTAACCTTCTATTATTCCTAGGGATGTCTAGATTAGGATTGAATGATGTAGGAATTATGATCTCTTTAGCAAACTCGATCATTTTATTCAACACTTCATGCAAAAAATTTATAAATTATTTGTGTTGAGTGTTGGAACCTATTTTTCAACACTTTATAACGTTGACTGTGACTTATAATCATTAGAAAGATAGCCATCTTTTCTTCGATCAATATATGTTTGCTATCTGTTAACCAACCTTTTGCTTTAAAATGATCACATAGTCGGACGAAAGCTTTACGGGACATTCACAAAAACTCAATACATTGCCGATCATTACTTTCAAGCAATTCATTAGTAAATTGACGTCCAGTTATTGCCTACGTATTATCTCTTTTCCTTTTCAAATGTCTTTGTCGCAAGTAGAACATATACAAGAATATGATGATGAGAAGTATGGTCCTTTTTGTTATTATCAATGATGATTTGATTATTATCCATGATAAACATGTTATTAGCATACATAAAATCATAAATAAAAGCTTGTTCCATATCAAATGCATTACGAAATTAACTGCTGGATCTATATGCCTATGACACTAAACTTGACGATACGGCTAATGATACACGATCCCAAAGGTTCACACACATACAAACAAATTAATTTCAATCGTACGATCGAATGTGATTCGATTATTTTTAATCTAAACAATTGTCATGTAAATTATTATTTAATCGAAATAATAACTTCTGATAATAATAAAATATATGTTAATATATATTTTGACTAGTGTTTAAGTCTAATATGTATTTGATACATATTACTATTTCCATTGTTTTATATGCACACTTAATTTGTTATGTGTGACATTAATTATATATGTTTAATATTTTGATATAAAATTTATATAAAATAATTAATAACTAACTAGTAAAACTATGGTTGGTTTTAGGTTGTTTATTGGTTGATTTCTAAGTGTATTGGTTGCTTCCAAGTATACATCAAATGACATTTAAAATATTAAACAAAACAGGATAATGTATGAGATGTAAGAAGTATGTTGGGTGAC